GCTGAAGAATCAAACCCAGGGCCTCATGCATGCAAGGCAAGCACTCTAACACTGAGCCAGCTTCCCAGCCCCTTTGTATTTTAATGTAGTCTCATTTATTGAGTCTCTCTCCAATTTGTTGTGACCCTGAGACTCTGTTCAGGAAGTTCTTGCCTGTGCCTATAAATTCAAGTGTCTCTCCTACTCTGTCCTGCAGTAGCTTCAGAGTTTCAAGTCTTTAATCCATTTTGAGTTGATGTTAGTGCATGGTGACAGGATGGGTTCTACTTTTAGTTGTCTCCATGTGGCTGGCCAGTTTTCCTAGCATCAGTAGTTGAAGAGCTGTGCTTCTTCCACTGTGTCTTTGGCTCCTTTGTCAAATATCAGCTAACTTTAAGTATGTGGTTTTATTTCTGGATCTTTTAATCTATTCCACTGGTCTTTGGGTATGTTTTTGTGCCAATACCAAGCTGTCTTTATTTTTATGGCTCTATAGTGTTTGAAATCCGGTATTGTGATCCCTCCCGTGTTTCTTCTTTTGCCTAGAACTGCTTTGGCTATTCTAGGTCTTTTGTTGTTCCATATGAATTCTTGGATTATTTTCTCTATTTCAGTAAAGTATGTCATTGGGATTTCAAAGGGAATTGCATTGAATTTGTATACCAATTTTGGCAGTATGGCCATTTTCACTATATTAGTTCTGCTTATCCAAGAATATGGAAGGTCTTTTCATTTCCTGATGTCCTCTATGATTTCTTTCTTTAGGATTTTATACTTTTCATTAAGTAGTTCCCTTACATTTTTGGGGTTGTTTCCTTATTTCCCTCTCTGCTTGTATGTTGTTGGTGTGCAAAAAGGCAACTGATTTTTGTGGGTTAATTTTGTATTCTGCTACTTTGCCAAAGTGGTTTATAAGCTCTGAGAGTTTGGTGGTGGAGTTCTGGGGATTGTTAAGGTATAATATCATGTCATCTGCAAAAAGGGATAGTTTAACTTCTACCTTTCCATTACGGATCCCTTTAATGTCTTTTTATTTTTTTGCCTTATTGCTCTGGCTTAGGATTCCAGAACTACACTGAAGAGGAGTGGCTACTGGTCTTAATGTTTTAAGGAATTTTCCTTCTAATCCTATTTTCTCCAGAGCTTTTAACGTGAGTGAATGTTGGATTTTATCAAGTCTTTTCCGGCTGGAGGCCGAGGGAAAAAAAGGTGGGGAGGGCTGGGAAGTTGGCTCAGTGGTAGTGTGCTTGCCTCGCATGCATGAGGCCCTGAGTTTGATTCCTCAGCACCACATAAGCAAAAGAGCCAGGCGCCAGTGGCTCATGCCTGTAATCCTAGCTACTCAGGAGGCTGAGATCTGAGGATCACAATTCAAAGCCAGCCTGGGCAGGAAAGTCCGTGAGACTCTTATCTCCAATAAACCACTCGAAAACCGGAAGTAGTGCTGTGGCTCAAGCGGTAGAGCACTCACCTTGAGCTCAAGAGCTGAGGGACAGTGCCCAGGCCCAGAGTTCAAGCTCCATGACTGACCAAAAAAAAAAAAAGCCAGAAGTGGTCCTGTGGCTCAAGTGGTAGAATGCTAGCCTTGAGCTGAAGAGCTGAGGAACAACACCCAGACCCAGAGTTCAAGCCCCACAACCGATTAAAAAAAAAAAAAAAAAAGCCTTTTCTGCATCAATGGAGATAATCATGTGGTTCTTGACCTTGGATCTGTTGGTGTAATAAATTACACTTATTGATTTAATTTCTCTTCTGTGACCCAGGTGTTGTTCAGAAGTATGCTGTTTAATTTCCCTGTGTTTGAATAGTTTCTATAGTATGCTTTGTTATTGAGAACTAGCTTGATTCCACTGTGGTTGGATAGAATACAGGAGTAATACCAATCCTCTTGTATTTGCTTAAATTGTATGAACTATGATGTGATTTATTTTGGAAAAAGTTTCATGGGCTGCTGAGAAGAATGTGTACTGGATTGTTGTTGGGTAGAAAACTCAGTAGATGTCAATTAAGTCTGCTTGAGATATGACATCATTTAATTTGGAGGCTTCTTTGCTAATCCTCTGGTTGGTAGACCTGTCCTTTGGAGAAAGTAGAGTATCACAGTCTCCTAGTATTACTGTATTTGGGTCTATTTTGTTCTGAGAGTATTTAAGCCTGAGAGTATTTACTTAACATATCTGGGTACACCAATGTTTGGAGAATATATATTGGTAATGGTGATATCCTCTTCTTTGATTGTTCCCTGTATTAAAATGTAGTGTCCTTCGTCTTTTTGTATTGAGTTTAATGAAAAGTTTATTTTGTCAGATATCAGGATGGCAACTTCTGCCTTCTTGCTAGGAGCATTTGTATGGTAGATCTTCCTCTATCCCTTCACTCAGAGTTTGTTTTTATCTTTGGCTGTGAGATGGGTCTCTTGAAGGCAACAAATGGATAGATTTTGTTTTCTGTTCCAATTTTCAGTTCTTTTTCTTTTGATTGGTGAATTAAGCCCATTAAAGTTTATGGTTATTATAGAGACATGCATTGTCTTTCCTGTCATTTTCCTGCTTTCCTAAGTTTTTCTTCTTTCCTTTCTTCCTGTGCTCACCAAGTTGGACTTGTAGTGATATCTGTCAGATATAGATCCCTGATCTTGTTTTCTTCAAATTGTATTCCCCCTAACCCCCGTCTTAATATTCTTTTTTCTTTCTTTTTTTTTTTTTTGTCGGTTGTAGAGTTTGAACTCTGGGCTTGGACGCTGTCCCTGCGCTCTTCAGCTCAAGGCAAGCACTCTAACACTTGAACCACAGCACCACTTCCAATTTTCTAGTGGTTTATTGGAGATAAGAGTCTCACAGACTTTCCTGCCTGGGCTGGCTTTGAACCGCGGTCCTCAGATCTCAGCCTCCTGAGTAGCTAGGATTACAGGCGTGAGCCATTGGCGCCCAGCTTCCCACTCTTAATATTCTTTGTAGTGCTGGCTTATTGTTTATTAATTCATTTAGTTTTTCTTCAGTATTAAAAATTTTAGTTTCTCCATCAAATGTGAATGTTACTCCACTGGATAAACCAGTCTGAGTTGGCAGTTATTGGTTCTCAGGGCTCAAATGATACTTTCCTAGGCTTTCCTTACATTCAGTGTATGTGGAAAGATCTGCAGTGATTCTGATTTTTTTCCTATTGTAGTATAGTTCCTCATTTTTGCTGCATGCAAGATTGTTCTTTATTATTCAGATCTATCACTTTTACTATAATGTATCTAGAAGTGTTCCTCCTGGGAGTCTACATGTTAGGTGTTCTGTATGCTTCTGTTATGTAGGTAAAATTTTAAGATTGGGGAAATTTTCGGTGATAATCTTATTGAATATGTATTGTATTTCTTTATTCTGGTATTCCTTACCTTCATCCACCCCAATTATATGCAGGTTAAATTTTTTGGAACTGTCTGCTTGTTCTTGGACTTCCCTTTGGCATATTTTGAGTGTTTTGCCATTTCTGTAACTTTTTTTTCCAGTTGCTGTATTTTATCTTCAGTACCTAATATTCTATTTTCCATTTCATTTACTCTGGTAACTATGGCTTCCATTGTTGTTTGCATGGAGGAAATTGAACCATTTATGATTTCTATCTTGGTTCTCAAAGTATTAATCTCATTTTTAGCGAGGTGTGTATGCATCTATTTTTGAATGCATCTGTTTGAAATCCTGCATCTCTTTTGATAATTCATTTCTTTGTTTTTTAAATTTCTGATCCATTTCTTGCTTTAATTCTTGAGTCATTGCCCTATCATCTCTTGGAGGTAGCATTTGTCTTCCATTTCTTTTTGCTTTCACTGGAGTTCTTCCCTGGGTGGCTATTGGCCTTTGGGGATGGTTTGCTGTCTTGGCTGTTGATGAATCTTGTAATTTTTCGCTGTGATTTTCGCATGGGGATTCAGGGATTATTGGAGACCAATCCCAAACCCTGACACATTTAGTCAATACGTGGCTGCCTTTGCTTGGTTCTGGGTTGATTCCTGGATCAACTGATGATGCTTGCTCTTGGCTCTGGGTTGGCTGAGAGAGTCTTTACTGGTCTCAGTTCTATTGGGGGAGAGGCCGACCTCTAGCTGCTAGTCTTTAGATTCTGGTGGGCAGACACATTTTACCCTCCGCTGAGGGTAAAGTTCCTGATTTCAGTCAGGGACATATGGTTTAGGCAGCTCAAACTCCTTCCTGGGATACAGGTAGGGCTCACTCAGCTGCCTTCTGGAGATCACAGGCAGTTCCCACCTTCAGCCAAGGAATGGCAGCCTAAACTGCTTACGCTTCCTCCCAGGGGTGCTCTTGGAAAAACCAGGTAAGCTGGGTGTATTCCACCAGTTGCTGGAGTTGGCTAGCAGTTCCTGACTATACTCAGGTGCTGGTGGCCTGAGCTGTCCAATACCTAGCCCGGGACAACAGGTCAGGCTATGGTGGGACTTGGGCTTCTGGGTCTCCTGCCCAGGACACACAGGTCTTTTGCCATCATGGACGTAGCTCCCTACTTCAGCCAGGGAGGGGCTGCAGAGGGGGCAGACCTCCAGCTGCTAGCTGCTAGTCTGGCCCACATAGGACTTGCTCTTGTTAGATTCTGGTGGGTAGGCACACTCCACCCTCTGCTGAGGCGTGTGATCATCTCCTGATTTCAGTTGGAGCAGGTGGTTTAGACAGCTCAGGCACCTGGTCCCCAGGCCCAACCGGGGCTCCCGGTCCCCAGCCTGGAACACACTGGTTGGGCTCTGGTGGGACCTGGGCTGCTGGGTTTCCTGCCTGGGACACACAGGTTGGGTTTCTTCTACCGCTGGCTGCTGTGGCTTGCAAGCGCTGTTCTCAGTTCCATATCCAAATATGTACACTGAGTATTATCATTGTATTCACCCATTATTCCTCTCTTCAGTCAGATAAACCATGCTTCAGCTTCCTAGTATTTTGTTAAACTGTCAGTTAATTGTTCAAAGGAGTTCTACACGATGGGAATCCACATGTATGCCATACTTTAGACAGTGTATCTATATCCATATAAATATGGACTGTGTCATGAGTTTGCATGTCATCCTTGCACAAGGGCCATGTTAATCATCTCTGTATCATTCCAATTTTAGTATATGTACTGCAAAAGAGAGCATCTTTCTAGTATTTTCAAAAATTACCCCTCCTTTTATTTATTTTTAAGTGTATGTATGTTAGTCCTTGGGCTTATACTCTGGGCTTGGGCTCTGTCCCTGAGTTTAATTTTGCTCATAGTAGCAGTCTATCATTTGCGCCATAGCTTCGTGTGAGCTTTTTTGGTAGTTTATTTGGAAATACGAGTCTCATAGACGTTTTTGCCTGGGCTGACTTCAAATCCTGATCCTTAAATCTCAGCCTATTCAGCAGCTAGGACTATAGACATGAGCCATCAGTGCCTAGCTAGAATACTTTCAGAAAGTATTCTGAAAGGTAAGTTGTTCAAAAGTAAACTTTTATCTTTTATTCACAACATAGTAGCTCTCCTACAGCCTTTCAGGTCTTTTGACCCACTGTCCTTTCCAAGGATAGGAACTCTAAAAGGAAGAAATTTGTGTTTATTGGGCTGGGAAGGTAGCTCAGTGGTAGAACGCTTGCCTTGCATGCCACAGGCCCTGGTTCGATTCCTCAGCACCACATACGCAAAAAGAAAAAAGCCGGAAGTGGCGCTGTGGCTCAAGAGGTAGAGCGCTAGCCTTGAGCTGAAGAGCTGAGGGACAGCGCCCAGGCCCAGAGTTCAGGCCCCACGACCGTACCCAAAAAAAAAAAAAAAAAAATTTGTGTTTATTGTGCACCAACTGCAATATACTGACACATTTATCTCATTCTGCAAGTACACCATTTTTGCCAGGCCTGGGATTTGAACTCAAGGCCTCAGCATGGTCCCTGAGCTTCTTTTGCTCAAAGTTAGCACTCTACCCTTGAGCCACAGTACCACTTCTGGGTATCAAACCCAGGGCTTCATGCATTCTAGGCTTCATACATGCTAGGCAAGCACTCTACCACTGAGCCATGTTCCCAGCCCTCAACACTATTTTATACAGAAAAGGCATTTGGACTCAAGGAGATTAATGTTCTCAAACTTCTTGACAAGTATAGGAAAATATGTTTGAATTTTTATACCAGAATTATTGCCTTTTTTTGGGGGGGAGGGGGGTCCAGTCGTGGGCCTGAACTCTGGGCCTGGGCGTTGTCCCTCAGATCTTCAGCTCAAGGCTAGCACTCTACCACTTGAACCACAGCACCACTTCCGGCTTTTTTCTTTTTGCTTATGTGGTGCTGAGGAATCGAACCCAGGGCCTCAGGCATGCAAGGCAAGTGCTCTACCACTGAGTCACCTTCCCAGCCCTCATTTTTTTTTTTTGTAGTACTGTTTTTTGTTTTTTAGTTCTAGGGATTGAAGTCAGGGCCTTGTACTTGCCAGTCTGACATTTTACCAGTAGAACCATACCTCCAGCCCTGCTTTTGGCTGGTTATTTTATTTTTCTCCAAATTTTCTTCATAACACATCTACTGTCTTTATAACCAGAGAAAGAATAATATAGGATTAAAAAATATTTTCTTGAGCTGAGGGATAGTGCCCAGGCCCAGAGTTCAGGCCCCACAACCAGACCCAAAAAAAAAAAAAAAAAAAATATTTTCTTTTCATGTCTAGTGACTCATGATGAAAAGCCCAGCTACTTAAGAGTATAAAAGCTGAGAGGATTGTGGCTCAAAGTCAAGCTAGGCAAAAAAGTAAGACTTTAGCTCCACACCCATAGCCAAATGTGGCATGTAAAACATGAGACTGCATCTCAAAAACTATGCCAGGCAGTAACTGTAACTCCTCTGTACAGTATGTTCACAAATAAAATTAAATTAAATTTAAAAAAAAAAAACTGCCAGGCAGTTATGGCACACACTTGTCATCCCAGCTACCTGGGAAGTTGATGATCTGGGCCAGCCTTGGGCAAAAATGACATACTATTCCCTCCCCCCAAAAAGAAATACCTTATGCAGAGAGGGAGAGAGGATGTGGCTCAAGTGGTAGAATGCCTGACAAGGAGGCATGAGGAGCTCAGTTCAAACCTCAGTACTGGAAAAAATAATCCACATAATTTTAATTATCTAAATTTTAAAATAGTTTCTGAAGTTTGAAGGACTAACTTTAAAGGGACTTAAACATAAAGAACACACACATATGTATATATACACATACATACACACACATATATATGTTAGTCAGATTGTCTCACACATACAGTGATTTCTCAATTTGCATAAGCAAATGCTTACCGCTCAGGGGATTCTTCATAAATACTGTGACATTCTGTATTTTCAAGCATGAGACTTCTACTAAGGTTCTGTACTCCTGGATAATGGAAGTTGGCAAAGGAGTGTGACATAGGAGAAGTTTTGTTCCCAAGGTCTGAGATTCTCTTATCGTGACTGGTTAGTCCACAAGTGAGGCCATCTAACGCAGGATTCAGAGAGCGGGTCATATAGGCATCAGCTGACTGAGGCCTTCTCATGGGGGATGATGGATAGGGAGAGAGTTTACTGATCAGAGGTGTCAAAAGATCAGCATATGCAGCTTTTGTAGGTTTTAGAAGTTTGTCAACATGAATATTAAGCATTTTCTGTTCAAAAGCACAAGAGAACACAGAAGAAGGAAGATTCTGAAGCCATGATAATAAACTCAGATCCAAATCATCACACCCATTGCCACATAAAAGGTCGATGCCAAGAAGTACTTCACTTTCTGTAATTTCTTCTCCAGTTGCTTTGCTCTGACAAAATTCAACACAGCATTCGTAAAGCAGGCCCTTCATTACAAGCTGAAATAAACGATTGTTACTTGCTTTAAAACCAGCCTCACTTAGTTTCCTGTCAGCAGGGATAAATTCTGCAACCATGACACAAGCCTCTTCAAAACAGTGAACTCGTGCAGTGCTGGGATTCCAGTCCTTAAATTCAGCGTGATTGGTCAGACGAGGTAAAGTCAAGAGCAAACAAAGCTTGCTGTAGTCATCTTTAGAAGGGCAGTATTCTTCTAGAGCATGTAAACATTGCACAGCTTCTTGCATGGTAAATTCCAACTGTAAAAACAAAACAAAACCATAAATGGTGACTATAAAAACTGGAAATGGTCACAATAAAAAGTAATTGTGAAAGCTGACTGTATAAAAGATCAATTCTGATATCATTGAATACACTAATTTTTAGAATTTGTAATAGTTTGAACTCAGGAACCAAAGTATTTCCACAAATAGAATACCTGGTTAATTAGTACATTACTCTTTAATCAGTATAATTAGTACATTACACTTTAATCTACAAAATAGTACTCAAATTCAGGTTTCAAGTGAATAATTTTACTTTTTGAGATAGCATCTCATTATGTAGCTCAGGCTGACCTTGAACTCCTATCTCAGCCTCCCAGATGCTGGAAATATAGGCATGTACCACTATGTGTGGTTCAAATATATAAATTCTCTCTCTCTCTGTCTCTGTCTGTCTCTCTCTTTCTTTCTTCCTTCTCTCCCACTTTACCTCCTCCCTCTTTCCTTCCTTCTTTCCTTCTGCTGGTATCAGGGCTTTTAGTTCTGGCCCTCTTAACTTTCGTGCTCTCAGTGGGCATTCTACCATTTGAGCTACCAGTCCAGAATTTTACTAGTTATTTGGAGATAGTCTCACACATATTTTCTACCCAGGTTGGCTTCAAACCTTGTTCCTCCGATTTCAGCTTCCTGGGTCACTACTTAAGAGTAAGCCTCCAGTGTCTGGCTTCAAAGGTATGATTTTTTTTTTAAGAATAAAACTTAACCACATCAATATTTGCATGCTAATAAAGCTTACTATTTGGCTTATCTAAATTCAAAAGAGCCATTTTCTTTTTTTTTCTCCATATAAAACACTTCCTTTTTTATTGAGGTATAACTTAATAACTTACACTTCAATGAAAAGGTATAAAAATTAAAAAAATGTCATTTATCAAGAACAAACATACCCATGGCACCAGTAGTCAGGTTAGCAAACAGAATATTTCCAACACAGCAGAATACCTCCAGGCCCCTGCATCCCCTCTCATACACCCTTCCATCTTCACCCACTACCTCCTTCCCACTCTTCCCCCAGTCTCCATTCTTGCTTGTGGTTGTAATTGGTTTATTCACATCATTGGAGAGTCATCAATAGTATAAACGGAGCGATCTTTGTCGTTTGTTCTTATATGGCTTAGCATTGGGATTATTTCTGGTTTGGGGCTGTCATGCAGACTTTTTTGTTCGTCTTTTGGTGAACATACAGACACTTTCTCTGTTGCCTCAGAGTGGAACATCTGACCATTGAAAAGAGCCATTTTCTTAGTCCCAACTTGCCTCAGAACAAATTTGTATGGAGATCAAGACCAGGGAACATTTACAACTGATTTACTTTAACAACAGTACAACCAAGTGCCAGTGTTAAGGCTGAGATCTGAGGATCACAGCTCAACGCCAACCTAGGCAGGAAAGTCCGTAAGACTCCTATCTTTAATTAACCACCAAAAAGCCAGAAGTGGAGCTATGGCTAAAGTGCTAGCCTTGAGCAAAAATGCTCCATGTCCTGAGTTCAAGACCCAGAATTTGTACAAAAAATAAATAAAAATAACTTTCCAATCAAATTGAATTAATATTTCTGAGTTTAAAATAGTCATACATTCAAATATTGACTCAAAAACTATCACTGGACCAAGAAAATACTGAACGCATAAAGAAAAAGGAGGCAAACCTACCCAACCCATTCCTAGAATAAAAGAAGCAATGATGACTCACCAAGTCGCCTCACTTATCTCAAATGAAGAGCATATACTTCTTCAATTAGCTAACTATTCACACATCATCTTGGCTTAAATCACAGAGTAAGCTTAGAGCACAACAGACTGAAAGGAGTACATCTGCAAAATAGCAGATCCTGTGCCATCCCAGTGCAGAAAAACTTTGAAAATGCATAATGATCTTTTGTGTTAGCAAATGAAATACTTATGACTGAAAACAATACTATGGCGCAAACCTTCAGGAATAAAAATCTTACATGCTGGGGCTCATCTTCTGCTGACATTGCATTGTTAACACATAAAGCTTCTAAAAACTTCTGCTTCAGGATAATATAACGAAACCTGTGTAAAAAATTAAAAATGAATCATTAAAAGGATTTAAAATTTGTTTTAAGGATTAAAAGCTAAATGATAGATGCCTGGCATAGGGAGTGTATGACAATGAACCCAGCACTTGGGAGGCTAAGACAGGAAAATCATGAATTCAAGGCCTATCTATGCTACATGGTGAGGCCTTCTCTCAAAATATAAATACAACTCAAAAGCTGAAATGATAGCAATGTCCAATACTAGAAAAGTGCTTAAGTTTCTGAAGCAAGAAACTAGTGCTAGGGATCAAACCCAAGGCCTGTTCCTACTAGGTAATATTCTAATAGTAAGCTACATCACCAATTTGGCCAGGTTTGTTTTACAGGACTAATTATTTATTTTAAAAGAAACTTCTTTAAAATATTAATTTTCCAGGCTGGGAATGTGGTTTAGTAGTAGAGTGCTTGCCTAGCATGCATGAAGCCCAGAGTTTGATACCTCAGTACCATATAAACAGAAAAAGCAGGAAGTGGCACTGTGACTCAAGTGGTAGAGTATTAGTCTTGAGCAAAGGAAGCTCAGGGACAGTGCCCAAGCCCTGAGTTCAAGCCCCAGGACTGGCTAAAAAAATTAATTTATCAGTGTCTGATAAATCAACTTGTAAATTACTGTAAAACTTGCTTTCAGAAAACTCTTGAAATATTTTCCTAAGTTTCTTATCACATTGAAGTCATAGTTGAAAAAATTTAATTGAAAGTAATCACATTTTAACACTCACAAAGAAAAAATTTTAAATCCAATATTAAATCTGAAAAAAAATTAAGTTTTAACCAATCATGACGATACATACCTAAAATCCCAATCATTTAAATTACTCAAGAGGTGAAGGTAGGCTCCACCTCCTGCTTTTTATTTTTTATTTTATTATTTATTTATTTATTTATTTATTTTTGGGTCCGGTCGTGGAGCCTGAACTCTGGGCCTGGGCGCTGGTCCCTCAGCTCTTCAGCTCAAGGTTAGCGTTCTACCACTTGAGCCACAGTGCCACTTCTGGCTTTTCTTTTTGCTTATGTGGTACTGGGGAATCGAACCCAGGGCCTCAGGCATGCAAGGCAAGCGCTCTACCACTGAGCCACCTTCCCAGCCCCTGCTTTTTATATTTTAATGTTTTTTTTCGTGTGTGTGTGTGTGTGTGTGTGTGTGTGTGTGTGTGCGCGCGCGCGCACGCACACACACATGCCAGGCCTAGGGCTTGAATTCAGTACCTGAACACTGACCCTGAGCATTTTTGCTCAAAGCTAGTTCTCTACCATTGGAGCCAGAGCTCCACTTCCAACTTTTTTGATAACTAATTAGAGACAAGAGTATCATGGAATTTCCTGTCAGTATAACGGAATTTCCTGTCCAGACTGGCTTTGACCTCAGATCTCAGCCTCCTAAATAGCAAGGATTACAGGCGTGAGCCACTGACATCCAATTTAATGTGTTTTTATATATTTTATTTTCAATATGGCTCTGCATCTTAAACTCCGACAATTGTACTTATTATGCAAGCGCTATTTGAGCTAAACCTCCTCCCCTCCTTTAACATTAGTATAATCTGGTAAAAATAGGGCAGAAAGGGTAGGAAAATGAAAAACACTTCAGCTGGTTTAAACAGTTCTCAGCCTCTTATATAGGTAGAATTACAGATGTTAACCACCAGTTAGTGCCCAGCTGTTCTTGGAAAATGATCATTTTAAGGGGTGAAATCCAAGAGTATAAAGGCTTTCCAGCTGAAGGCACTCCCCAGTCCACTCATGCAAACTAGAACTCAAGCAGAAAGCTGAAGTGTTAGAAGTCACAGGCCTGAAAAGCCAACAAAAAGTTTGGCACCACCAGTGGCTTATGCCTATAATTTTAGCTACTCAAAAGGCTTAGTTTCACAGCTGTGATCTGAGGATCATAGTTCAAAGCCAGCCTGGACAAGAAAGTCCATGAGATTCCTATCTTAATTAACCACCAAAAAGCCAGAAATAAAAAGCTATGGCTCAAGTGGTAGAGTGCAGTCTTTTTTTTTTTTTTTTGGGGGGGGGGGTCTGGTCGTGTGGCCTGTACTCTGGGCCTGGGCGCTGTCCCTCAGCTCTTCAGCTCAAGGCTAGCACTCTACCACTTGAGCCGCAGCACCACTTCCGGCTTTTTTCTTTTTGCTTATGTGGTGCTGAGGAATCGAACCCAGGGCCTCAGGCATGCAAGGCAAGCGCTCTACCACTGAGCTACCTTCCCAGCCCCTAAAGTGCAGTCTTGAATAATAAAAGCTAAGGGACAGCACCCAGGCTCTGAGTGCAAGACATAATATGGGCACAATGAATGAATGAATGAATGAGTTTAGTATTCCCACAACAGATGAAATGTGAGAGGAATCCACAATAAGAGGGAACCACAGTAAGAAATACACTAAAATTGCTGGGCATCAGTGGCTCACGCCTGTAATCCTAGCTACTCAAGAGGCTGGAATCTGAGGATCGTGGTTCAAAGCCAGCCTGGGCAGGAAAGTCTGTGAGACTCTTATCTCCAATAAACTACTCAGAAAAAGCCAGAAGTGGTGCTGTGGCTCAAGTAGTAGAGCTCTACCCTTGAGCAAAAGCTCAGGAACAGTGCCTAGGCCCAGAGTTGAAGACCCAGGACTGGCAAAAAGAAAAAGAAAAAGAAAGAAAGAAAAAGAAATATACTAAAATCTACCAGAGGCTTTGCTTATCTCCTAAACTATGAGGGTACAAGGAAGATTCCAAGGAGCCCCCAAAAAGCAACAGAAAGGTCAAAAAACCAAACAGACATTTCAGCTGGTATCCACTAGAGGGCAGACAAATTTGCATTTTGAGGTTAACAAAATTAATGACTTGACTGCATAAAAATTAATTTTTTAAATGAAGATAACCAAGTTTAAGAATAACAGAACTAGCCGGGCGCTGGTGGCTCACACCTGTAATCCTAGCTACTCAGGAGGCTGAGATCTGAGGATCGCGGTTCAAAGCCAGCCCGGGCAGGAGAGACCGTGAGACTCCTATCTCCAATAAACCACCAGAAAACCAGAAGTGGCGCTGTAGCTCAAGTGGTAGAGCGCTCACCTTGAGCTGAAGAGCTGAGGGACAGCGCCCAGGCCCAGAGTTCAAGCCCCACGACCGACAAAAAAAAAAAAAGAATAACAGAACTGAAGAATGAATCTACAGCATGGGATGTAGCTTCAAAAGTACATGTTTATATTCCCAGCTATGCAGGAGGCAGAAACAGGAAGATCACAGTTTGGAGGCCAGCTTATGCAGTTATCAAAACCTTATCTCAAAAACCCAGGAATGGTGGCTCACACCTTTTGTCTAGCTACTTGGGAAATAAAGGTCCAAGATTAGACCAGACAAAGTTAGGGCAAGATCCTATCTGAAAATCAAATTAAAAACAAAAGCACTGAACATGGGATCATGAGTGCTTGCCTATGAAGAGCAAGGCTCTGAGTTCAAACTCCAGTAACACATGTAAGCATATGCCTATAATCCTAACACTCAGAGGGCAGAAACAAGAGGATTTCAAGTATAAGACCAGCCTGATATACACAGGTGTTCCCCCAAAATTTAGAGAGATACTATGGTTTGACTCAATGCTATAGCACCTAATTAGCATGTGTGAGAATGTGGGTTCAATCTCCATCACCACCAAAAAATTAAATAGTAAGGCCTCAGTCCTGTGTCACAAAAATCAATTTATCTAACATCACGACCCAGAGGCAAAGAGATAGGAGACATGAGCATGGCAGCAAACCTGTAATCCCAGCTACATGGAAGGTGGTGACAAAGAGGATGGGGAGTTCAAGGCATGCCTAGGTAAAGATAAAGAAACTGTCTCAAAAAAATTAAAATAAAAACAAAGGCTGGGACCATAGTTCAAGTGGTAGAAAACTCATCTAGCATGTGTAAGGCCCTGGGTTCAATTCCTAATACCATAAAGATATGGAAGAGAAAATTTGAAGAAACAATGACCAAAATTTCATGCCAGGAGCTAGCAGCTTACACCCATAATCCTCAGTACATAGGAAGCTAAGATCTGAGGATCATATATTGAAGACAGCTTGGATGGAAAAGTTTGTCAGGCTCTTTCTTCTCTAATTAACTAGCAAAAAGCCAGAAGTAGATCTGTGGCTCAAGTGATCGAGGGCCAGAATTGAACAGAAAAAAGTCAAGTAAGAATGTTAGATAATGAGTTCAAGTCCCAGTACCAGCAGAAAAATTTTCCTTTCTTCCAGGAAAGGAATGAAGAAATTAAGGTAGAAAGAAAAGAAGAAAGCAGGCAGGCAGACACATTGAATTATATTATAAGAGATTAAGGATACAAATTATAGATGACAACTCATGAGAAACAATAGAAACCTAAAGTTTTCATGCTATTATGAAGATACAACCCTTAGGATTTTTTACACACTATTGAGCAAAAGGATGTGCATATCAGAGCTGCAGATATTCGAAGCATATGCAACTTGTCCTGCAGAAGTGCTCCAACTTAGTATGGTTGGCTATACTGCTTTAGAAAAGTCCTGTTTTAAATTTTTTGGGTTTTTTTTTTGCTATATTTCTGACAATGACAAAGCACTAAAACTTTGTATAAAGTCTTACCTACCTTTTTTTGTCAAACTTTTCCATACATTCTAGAGGCTGAATGAACTGAAGAACTTCATCCCATTGACCATCAAGGATTAGTTGCCTAAAGAAAAATCCAGAACACTATCAAATTTAGAATATGTTAATAGATGATACTCAAACACTAAAACAATTTTTCACACCAGTGATGACATATTATCTATGAAAAGAATTTATGATTCTGCATTCACTCCTCGTGTTAGCATAAATATAATTTTGATCTCTAAAAGAACTTTAGCTGGGCGCCAGTGGCTCACGCCTGTAATCCTAGCTACTCAGGAGGCTGAGATCTGAGGATCACGGTTCAAAGCCAGCCTGGGCAGGAAAGTCTGTGAAACTCTTATCTCCAATAAACCACCAGAAAACCGTAAGTGGCACTGTAACTCAAGTGGTAGAGCGCTAGCCTTGAGCTAAAGAGCTGAGGAACAGCACTCAGGCCCCGAGTTCAAGGCCCATGACCAACCAAAAAAAAAAAAAAAAGAACTTTATACTTTAAACAAAAAAGTTCCTTATTTCTCTATTCATCTTCAGTTTTAAAGCTAGTATTTTATTTTCTTTTTTTGTGCCAATACCAAGACCAGGGCTTTGAGTTCTTGCTCAGCTTTTCTACTCATGGCTAATACTCTATTTGGGCCAGTATTTTTGATGATTAATTGGAGATAGTTCCTTGGACTTTTCTGCCTAGGCTGGCTTCAAACCATGATCTTCCATATCTCAGTCTCTTAAATAGCTATGATCATAGGCCTGATCTACCACCAGCATCTGGCTAAATAAAGTATGTATTATTAAAAGACTATTAGTGGTCAAATCCTGACAAGCATGCATAGACACAAGCCCTAGCTAGATTCAACCCCAATACTGTAACTCTTTATTTCCAATTAACCAGCAAAAAAGCCAGAACTGAAAGTGTAGCTCAAGTCATAGAGTCCAAATATGAAAGTTAAATAAAGCCCAGTGCTGGTGGCTCACACCTGTAATCCTAGCTACTCAGGAGTCTGAGATCTCAGGATTGTGGTTCAAAGCCAGCCCATGCAGGAAAGTCCATGAGACTTTTTTTTTTTGGGTCCAGTTGTGGGGCCTGAACTCTGGGCCTGGGCGCTGTCCCTCAGCTCTTCAGCTCAAGGCTAGCGCTCTACCACTTGAGCCACAGCGCCACTTCTGGCTTTTTTCTTTTTGCTTATGTGGTGCTGAGGAATCGAACCCAAGGCCTCATGCATGCAAGGCAAGCGCTCTACCACTGAGCCACCTTCCCAGCCCCTCCATGAGACTTTTATCTCAAATTAACCACCAGAAAACCAGAACTGGAGCTGTGGCTCAAAGTGATAGAGAGCTAGTCTTCAGAAAAAGACCTCAGGGACAGTACCCAGGCCCTCAATTCAAGCTCCATGACCGACCAACAACAAAAAAAGTTAGGGTGCAATTCAAGACCCCACACTGTCACACATAAACCAAAGTCAAAACAAGTAGAGATCAGAGGAAAGAGCAAGGAACAAGAACAATTTTCATCCTCCTTTAAGTGGTCTGTAAAGTTTCCAAAAGTTCCAAGGTACTCTTATCTTTCTTCTTACACAATAACAATTTCCCTATTTTTTAATACTTTGTAACAGTAAAATATAGAAACAGAAAGATGAGCAGAAGGACTTATCATATAAAATTGACAACATATGATTCTGCTTATAAAGGAACATTTTTAATTATTTTTTTTTAAAAACAGGAAGACACAATTTCAAAGATACTTACTGTCTGGGTAATTCTATGCATTGGTAATTCTGTGCACTTCACCTCAACATCAGTTAAATTTCATTATAAACCTACAGGATCCTGCAGATACTTAAAAACTAGTACAAAATTCCAGAAATATCAGTACTTGAAACAGAACCAAAAGAACACAGCCTCACACCAGTTACATCACTCAGTAAGCCCCCAAAAGCTGGAAGACCACAGCATAAGTGATAGAAATACAAATGTAAATAAACTTTAATGATAAAGCTTTGTATTTTTTAAGGAAAACTCATTTTGCCCAAGAACATGTACTTTTTGCTATTACATAAAAATAGAATACATTCTGCCTGGAAATGTGGGATCTCTTTTTCCGTCCAATTCAAATTGAGATATATTTAGCTTTCCATTTTGGCAAATACATCAATTCCCTTTGCTTTGCAATTCCAACTCCAAGAATCTTTTCCTAAGGAAATAATCTAAGCTATAGAAAAAGTCTCATGTATAAAAGCCACTCGGTAAAGCATTTAAGAAAATTGAAAATAATTCTCTAAAAATAGAAGAACAAATATTGGAAAATTAAGTTGAAAATTGTTAATGTATCAATAAATTTGTAATCAGAGAAGATCCTTATGATATTAATGGATAAAACAGGAGTTATGATTCTTGTTTAAGACCTCTGGGTTTTACTACTGAAAATATTCTATGAAAACATCACAGTATTTTGTAAATGCTCCATTATAAAAATATTTGAAAATACTACTTAGTCCTGAATTATTATAAAGTTCTATTTTTAAATCTATACATAATAGTAATATTTAACTTTTTTTTCCATACGTAGGGCTTGAACTGTAGGCTTGAGCGCTGTCCCTCAGCTCTTCAGCTCAAGGCTAGCACTCTACCACTTCAGCCACAGTGCCACTTCTGTTTTTTTCTGTTTACGTGGTGCTGAGAAATGGAACCCGTGGCTTCATGCATGCGAGGCAAGCACTCTACCACTGAGCCACCTTCCCAGCCCAATACTTAACATTTTTGAAGGCACTATAAACTTCAGAGTAATAATGAAATCATACCTCAGGAAGAGCATATCATCTGAAAACAGACCATTTATGACTCCACTTTCCTTCTCAAGAGCCAACATACTAATGTGAAGCTTCTTTGAATTCAAGAAGTCCAAAATTAGCTTAATGATTTCAACCTCTTTTACGTTCACTGTTTCTTCAGCCGTCATATTGATAGCCTAAGTAGTAAACAGAATAACAAAAAAAAGTTAGTCCTATTGTTTTATATCTGTTTTACTGCATAGAAACTACACAGGTTTCTTGGGAATGTTTGGTAAGGGAATTCTGAAGTGAAAATGACTTACCAAAACAAAGTCATACTTGCCTGGCATGTGTGAGGCCCTAGTGTACTGGGAGAACCCAACTTATTCCACAATGTTCTAAATACACTGTCAGAAGGATGCCCTAAAATATTCATTCAGTAAGCATTTAACATCTCAGGACACACTGATCCTGTCCTTACAAGTTTACAGTCCAGCAGCAATATCTACATTAGAGTCAAACAAAAAAGCCTAAGTTAAAATGTGACAGTGGTAGATTAATGTCATATTGGTAATATCAATGACATTTGATATCATTGAGCATATAAGTTGTATGATAATAAAACTTTAGAACCTGAAGGGCTGTAAAACCATTAGTTTAACATTTCATTTTACAGATGATGCCAAAAGTTAAATAACCTAAGTTGTTGTTTTTCTAATATAAAGACTCAGAGAAAAATAAGAAAGGGAAAAAAAGACTCCGAGCAATACAAAAAATTACTAGCTGCAAAGAAAGCTCATCAGGATCCCAGTTCAAAACCTGGGCAGACACATTCATGAGATTCCTATCTCCAATTAACCAGCAAAAAGTCAGAAGTGGAGATGTGGCTCAAGTGGTAGAGTATCAGCATTGAGCAGAAGAAGCTGAGCAAAAGCTCAAGTCCCAATACCAAACCCAAAACAAAACAAAAAACTTTATTAAATGAAATAAGGCTACAAGTCTTATCTTTCTCACCAGACCATCTTATTTTAACCAACCTCACAGGTACAAAAAGACATATATGTAAACATACAAGTTTTTTTTTTCCAATTTGTTTACAGTTTTGTCACTCTGTCACTTTAAAATATAAAATACAAATATACAGCCAAGCTCAGAATGCTCTCACCAGCAGATAAGTACATTCTCTCATATAGAGAAGGCACTAAGAGTATGATCCAAATACTAAATATCAGAGTAATCTAATTCCCTTCTACAATGAAGAAATGCCTGCTTCAGGAAATAGGTAAATCACAAATCTTTCTCCCAATATGCATACTGGCTGCTCAATTCCTATTACTTTATGTGTCCTTTTGCTACCTTCCACTTGTCCACCTTCATCTTGCTCATAGATGTTGTCTAAAATAAAATCAACGAGTTTGGTTTGCTAATTTTTTTTGGGGGGGGGAAGGGTCTGGTCGTGGGGCCTGAACTCTGGGCCTGGACACTGTCCCTCAGCTCTTCAGCTCAAGGCTAGCGCTCTACCACTTGAGCCACAGTGCCACTTCTGGCTTTTTTCTTTTTGCTTATGTGGTGCTAAGGAATCGAACCCAGGGCCTCATGCATGCAAGGAAAGCACTCTACCACTGAGCCACCTTCCCAGCCCCAATCGCTTGCTAATTTCTGATCATATTCTATCTCCGTGGGGTAACTCCAAAACACACTGGTTAACAATTTTAGCATTTCCCAAATCTATAGATAATTTCCCCACTCGTTTTTGTTTTTTTTTTGTTTGTTTTTTTGGCAATACGAGGGATTGAACCCAGAGATTTGGCATGCTAGGCAAGAATTCTACCAAGAGTTATATCTTTAACACCTTCATTAATATTTTTTGTTTTTGAGGTAGGATATCCCTACTTTTGCTTGAACTATTCTAAAACTTGATTCTCCCACTTGTACCTCTCAAACAGCTGGGATTACAGACACATACCACCAAACTGGGCTAAATCTTCAGATAACTCTTATTAACAAAAGAATGCCCTTTATTAATTTAACTCTCGAAAAATATTCTGCCTCATGAGACCTTAATTGGTGATTATGTACATACCACTGTACAATTAGTGATCATACAATTGAGTAGAGAACTGAAACTACACTGTTCTAATGTAGTTCAATATAAATATTTTATAGATTCAATAGTCAGTCTAAACACTAAATAATGTTGAAGTAGAATTTATGGCAACAGTCCCACTTTAATTCATAGCCAAAAGCTTAGTGACTGGCATCAAACTCCTAGGCTCAAATAATCCTCCTGCTACAACTATAGGCATGTGTTACTGTGCCCAGCATAATTACAAGTTTAATGCTGCAATCATTTTAGGCCAAGTAAGCCTAAGAAGAAATCACATTCTTTTAAATATATGTTGTACACTAAATTTGAATATTAACAGGAAATGTATCCTAATTAACTTGGAATTGGTTCAGGTTTGAAAAAATTAATTTAGAAAAGACAAGGATTTTATTCTATTCTGTGAAATTCCCAGTGAGAAGGTATGGTATTTTAATCACTCATACATGTTATCTTTAAAAAGCTTTGCTGTTGTTGAGTAAAATATTAATAATACACATATACTTGGTGACTACTACCTTATTATTACTCTTTTCTAACACTTGCTACTGAAACTTTTACTGAGCATCCCAAATTCCTATCTCCATAACTTAGAAATGATACATCCTATACACATACATCAAACATATCAAACATATAACTCATTAATTTTGTATATGTTTCACCATCTTTTAATTTTATTTTTATTATAAAAGTGATATACAAAGTAATTAATTAATTAATTTTTTAAATCTCTACAAACCTAGAATTTTCCCCAAATTCAGAAGAGCAGAATTCAATGATAAATGCTTCTTTCCTTCCTCTTCAAAGGAACAATATAAATCTCTAACATTTAACTAGCTTAGAAACTACCAGCCAGATGCCAATGGCCCAGACTCTGAGTTCAGAGTCTGGACCAGCACAAAAAATGAAAGAAGGAAGGAAGGAAGGAAGGAAGCAAGGAGGGAGGGAGGGAGGGAAGGAGGGAGGGAAAAAAAGAAAAGAAAGAAACTAAGTCTACTGAATTCTAGTCTCAAAATCCTGGGGCTCAAGTAATCCATTTATCTCAGCCTCTTGAGTAGCTGTAACTAGAGGTATGGGTCACCACTGCTGACTCTAAAATAATGAGATATACAGCCAGGCAACCGTGGCTTGCACCTGTAATCCTAGCCACTCAGGAGACTGAGATCTGAGGATCCCTGTTTGAAACCAGCCCAGGCAGGAAAGTCCATGAAATTCATATTGCAATTAACCACTAAAAAGCTGGAAATAGAGCTATGGATCAAGTGGTAGAATGTCAGTCTTGAGCAAAAACAGCAAAGTGACAGTGCCTGGGTCTGGTTCAAGCCCTAGTGCACATAAACACACACAAAGAAAGATATACATAATATATAACAAAATAATAAATGTTCAATAGGAGTTCAATTAACTTCAAGTGCAAAAAAAAAATCACTCAGGGAGGGAATGTAGCTTAGTGGTAAGAGTGTTTACCTAGCATGCATGAAGCCTTGGGTTTAATTCTCAATACCACATAAATAGGATAAAACAAAAAAGCTGGAAATGATACTGTGGCGATGTTGGGAGCCAAAAGTTGAGTCTCTCAACATAATAGGCTTGACTATCTCACTGGAACATCTTGAGGCTGCCCCAAACAAACACCGGGTGTTTTCACCTTGCCCTAAGCAAACACCCTGCAGCTACTAACGACCACCTTTTCACCTTGCCCTAAGCAAGCACCCTGCAGCTGCTTCGGCCAATGAAAAAGCTTCCTTATTCCAAGCATATAAATACCATTGTGTGAAAAATAAAAATTGGCAGCTTGATCAGAATCCCTGTCTTGCTGTCATTCTTCTTATCTCTTGTCCCTTCATTCCTTCTCGCTTAGGTTCATTGCCCTTGTTGAAGTCCTGCGGGTCGGGACATGGCTCAAATGGTAGTGCTCAATCCTTGAGCATAGAAAGGCTAAGGGACAACAACACCTGGGCCCTGAGTTCAAGCCCCAGGCAAAAAAAAAAAAAACATCACTCAAGAAATATTTCCACATTATCTGCTCCGTGGAAGGAAAAGGGAATCACAGGAACAGCAGGACAAAGCATGAAGTAATGCAACAAAGATATTCACTAGACACCATGTTGGAAATGAACTTTACCAAGTGGTAGGGAGGGTAGTGGGGAGTGCTAAGTGGGAGAAAATGAGGGAGAGGATAACAGTGTTTAAAAAGAAATACCCTTGTCAGGCACCGGTTGCTCATGCCTGTAATCCTAGCTACTCAGGAGGCTGAGGTATGAGGATCACGATTCAAAGCCAGCCCAAGCAGTAAAGTTCGTGAGACTTTTATCGCCAATTAGCCCCAGAAAACTAGAAGTGGCGCTGTGGCTCAAGTGGTAGAGCGCTCGCCTTGAGCTGAAATGCTGAGGGACAGCGCCCAGGCCCAGAGTTCAAGCACCACGACTGACAAAAAACAAAAACAAATCAACAACAACAACAAAAAAGAAATATCCTTGGGGCTGAGAATATGGCTTAGTGGTAGAGTGCTTGCTTAGCACTCATAAAGCCCTGGATTCAATTCCTCACTACCACATAAAGAGAAAAAGCCAGAAGAAAAGCAAAAGTAGCTCAGGAACAGAGCTCAGGCCCTAAGATCAAGCCCCAGCATGACGAGGACGAGGAGGAGGAGGAGGAAGGGGGGAGAAGGAGGAGGAAGAAATGTACTCATTACCTTACTTATGTAACTGTAACCATCTCCACTCCTCCCCAATTCATTACCTTTACAATTTTTTTTTTTTTTTTGCCGGTCATGGGGCCTGCACTCTGGGCCTGGGCGCTGTCCCTCAGCTCTTCAACTCAAGCCTAGCACTCTACCACTTGAGCCACAGCGCCACTTCCGCTTTTTCTGCTTATTTGGTGCTGAGGAATTGAACCCAGAGCCTCGTGCATGCAAGGTAAGCACTACCACTGAGCCACCTTCCCAGCCCCTACAATAAATTTTTTAAAACTAAAAAGAGCCAGGCACTGGTGGCTCACACCAGTAATCCTAGCTCAGGAGGCTGAGATCTGAGAATTACAATTCAAAGCCAGCCTGGGCAGGAAAGTCTATGAGACTGATCTCCAATT